TGTGTGTGTGTGTGTGTGTGTGTGTGTGTGTGTGTGTGTGTGTGTGTACACCACATATTCTTTATGTATTCATCTGTTGATGGACATCTAGGCTCTTTCCATAGTTTGGCTATTGTGGACATTGCTGCTATAAACACTGCGGTGTACGTGCCCCTTCAGATCACTACATTTGTATCTTTGGGGTAAATACCCAGTAGTCAAGCAATGCTTTCTATGTATCTCTAACAGCAAGAATCCCCTGTTCTAATCTCTGGCCTCCTCCCTCCCCGGAGGTGAGCTGAGCCCCAGATGCTGGGAAGGTGGCTCCATGGGGCTGGTGTCCTGGGGCTCAGTTCACAAGGAGATTACAGAGGGGCTGAGTTCCCAGAGATTTTCTGGTTGATGATCTCCTTGAGAACCTCAGTGAGATAGAGATGATAAATTGTGGGGTGCTCCATATTGGGGCTCATGGGGGGCTCAATAAAGCCATGAGGTTCACCAAGGAACCCAAATGCAGGCTTTGGGTGTTATTTATAAGGAAGGCTATGGTAATGATATGTTTGTTTTTGATTTCAAAATTAATTTGCTGCATGTGAACGTTTAAACTTTAATACTCACAGTAATTCTGATTTGGTATGTCTGCATTTTGAGGAGCCTCAGACAGGCAAGTAGTACCTGTGAGGCCCTGGTGGGCCTCATCAGGGCAGTGTCTGCCAGGAATGTCAGCTCATGCACTTGGGGGTGGGAAGGTCCAGGCTTACGAGCTGGGATATTTTCTGTAAATGGGCTGCCCTTGTATTGTGATGAACTCTTCATATCAGGAACTGTCTTAGCATGGGCTGAAACAAGATCCGAGAAGTTTCTGTGGTGGATTAAATATGGCTGACAGCAAATTCTTTGTCACGTCTCTCTTTGAGAGGTAGGTTTATTTCCCTTCCCTTGAGTCTGCTTTGGCCTTGTGCCTAGCCTTGATCTGTAGAGTGCAACAGAAATGATTGTGTAACTTTTGAGGACAGGCTAAAGGAGATTTCCAGCTTCTGCCCCTTTTGCAATGCTCCCTTTTGGAAGCTGCCCCATGAGAAACTCTACAGCCTTAGACTACCACTCTGTAAGGAAAGCTGGGCAAGCCAGGCAGAGGGAAAGGGGCTGTGTGGAGGACGCTGAGGCACCAGACACGTGAGTGAAGCCTTGGTTCTTCCTGTGGTGAATGA